CTTCTTCCATTCTCTCTCGCCTCGCTCTCGCCACTACGCGGTGCTCCTACACCAGTCCGTGGGATTCGGGTCAGTCGCTGCGCTATCAAACTGACTCACCATGACGCGACTGCTATGTGTTCCACTTCTGCAATAGTTGTAATCAGGGAGGGTAGCAGCAGCAGGATTTTTATTTTGTTTTCCTCTGTCACCTTTTACTTCAGACGATATGGGGTAGTGGATACAAATCACAGATCGTAGAAAGAAATACAAATACAAAATACAAAGGTGGTAGAGCCACGCTGCAGCTATATTATGGTTATAGCATGAATGGGTCGGCTCGACCGAGGAAGGACCACGCTCTCACAGAACACCAGTGCAAAATAGCATCATAACGCTACTGTCACAAGTCAAATGAAACAAGGCATTACATCTTAGTCCTCAGGGATAACAGCACATTTGCATTTTGATTCTTAATTGAGAATAAATGTAGATGTCTATGGGCCACAGCACCCACTTCATCATCATTTCAGCATCATTCCATCAGGTGGTCTGCGTGGTCGTTAGTCAGTTTGTCACCCTTATTCTATAAATATAACGGTAAATATTATTTTAAATAAATAACAAAATTCAGTTATTTCAGTATATTCCAGGAATTTTAAGAATTGTGAATAAATAGAATATATTATATTTTAAAAAATACGTTACTCCCTAGGGTTTTCTCATGTATAGGGTTGCCAGGTCTCTAAAGCGAAAAGCCGGACAGACCATCCACCTTAGCCGGACATTTTGATAAAAAGGCCGGACTCCCTTAATTATTCAGTCTCAGTATAAAACGATAATATATTTTTTAAAGTAAAACAATGTTAAAAAAATAAATGATATAACATTTACCATAAAATCTTAAATTATAATTGAATGAATCAGTGTTATTTATTATTAATCATTCAATATTTATTACAATATTAATTTCAATAATTGCAATAGTATGCATTTAAGTACATGAAAAATGTAAAAAAATTGTCAAATATAAAAAGCCTGACAAAAGCCGGACAGGCCGGACACCGTCTAATTTGGCCAGACACGCAATCAAAAAGCCTGACTGTGTCCGGCTTTATCCGTACGCCTGGCAACGCTACTCTTGTATCGTGGAGGCAGTTTAACTTACATTAATTTTACAAAATCAAACATCCCGATCCAGGACAACAATTATTTGTGGTTACCTATCAGATATCAAATTTACCAATGGTTATAGGCCTTTCCTTATTTGCGCAAGCTAGTATATAAACCTTGAAATATTTGTCTATACTTGTTATGGTCGAATCGTAATGGCGATTTACCGAATTTGTATTGCGTTACACTGTTTTATCGGCGTTTGATTGCGTAACAATGTTCGAAGAGTCAAATTTTCGATGCCCGTGTGCGGTGAGCGAAACTGCCGTGTTTGTATTGAACATAGGGCTTGTATTGCCTTAGCAGCATAAAAAAGAAAATAAATGTACTATTAAATAACTTCACCAATTATTCTCATCTTTATACGCGGTAGAGTCATGTTGCAGCAAAATTATGATTGTAGCACTAATGCGTCGCCCAACCAGGGAAGGACCACGCTCTCACAGAATACGAGCGTAAAATAGCAGCTTAATGTTGCTGTGTTTCGTATGGTGAATGTAGAGAACCGGAGACCCTTTTTCCTCGAAACGAGTCAATCCATCTTAGTCCTCAGGGGTGACAACGCATCTGCATTTTCAGACGTCTATAGACTACATCATCCACTTACCATGATGTGGACTGTGCGCTGGTTTACCGCCCTTATTTTATAATGAATTGTAATAATTCACGTGAATGCCAGTACACTAAACCGATTGCGTCAGATAAGGTTTTTTGCGACTCCAGCATGGTCATTGTAAAAACTAAAGAGCTTGTGAAGGTGTCATCGACGGTAAATAAAAAGATTTCAATACTAGCATTAGAACACAATGTTATCATTATACATTATTTGTAACGTACCTAAATTAAAATCATTAAATCTGTATAATATAGCTAGATTTGCTATACGTTCCGTACATATGGGACTGTCCCTGTATTGGATCATCTCGTTCCGTAATTGACTTGTCCCCTTTATCAACAATTTCGAAAAAATATGGAAATGGCCCGAGCTGAGCGGCGCGGGTGGCCGGCGGGAGTTGACGCTTTCACGGCTCACTACTCGATGCTTGTTGAAATCAAATTCCTGCCCACAACCTAAATGTAGAAAGAATATATTCGTTGATGAGATGAAGGTTCACTGGACTACCGAACCTCTTTCTCATTGAAGCCATATCGATTTTTTATTACACTTTTAAAATGATATGCTGCCAGTTCTATGATTATGTCAAAAAAGAAAACGCGATCATTACAAAACTAAAATCAACCTTGAAATATGATTGGGCGAAAAAGTACCTAAAATGGTTAATTTAAATTAAAACTGGTTTCTATGATTACTTTGAATAAAAATGTGCCCACTAGTATTGAAATTAGAGTTAGGTGTCAACAAAATGTATAATTGTCTTTCGGCGCCTCTACACGTTGGCCAACACAGTGGCGAATGTAGTGGCCAATAGCATTGGCCAACGTGTAGACGGGGTGTTTGGGCTTCATTGGTATGTATTGGAACGATGGCCCGCAAGTTGGCGCGAGATCCGTGTGGTGTCGGTTTTCGGTCAGAGTTTGGTCGCCGCGTCCACACGTTGGCCGCGCGTTTAGTTTGTTGCAAGCTCCCAGAGTGATTACACGCATCAGATTTAAATTTTATATTCACGCTTTGTAGGGTGGATGACCCAATTACCAGCCTTTTAGTGCCAATTTCAACTTTAAACATTCATACTACTTTAATTAGCGCGATTTAATTATTTTTAAACATTTGTTTTATTCGATAAGCTATTTATAAAAAAAATAATGAACATTTATTAACATCAGATTATTACGAGAACAATTTTAAAATGAAAAAAATGAAGCACGTCGTTTATACGTGGTAGAACCATGCAATTATATTAGAAGTATAGTTGCAGCACGAAGATCGGTTCGACCGGGGAAGGACCACGCTCTCACAGAATATCAGCGTAAAATAGTAGCTTAATGATGCTGTGTTTCGTATAGTGAGTGTAGAGAACCAGAGACACTTTTTAAAGGAAACGAGGCGTTTCGTCTTAGCCCTCACGGGTGACAACGCATCTGCATTTTGATTCGTAATCGAGGATAGATGTAGATGTCTGTGGGCCACAGCAACCACTTACCATCAGGTGAACTGTGTGCTTGTTTGTCAACCTATCCTAAAAAAGCGTCGATTTCTTATAATTTAATCGTGCAAGATTTCGAATCATCATCATCATTACAGCTGTTCACAAGTCCACTACTGAACATCCTCCTCCACAGACTGCCGCAAAGCATGGTCCTGAGCCACTTTGCTCGTCATGAGTTTTTCATTTATGTTCTAAGTTATAATTAGTACCTATTATTAAGTCAGTGTTAATTATATTTATTGCTATTGTTTTTGTCTTTCTAAAAAAATAATTAAATTACCAAATCAATTATAAGATGTTTTATATACATCAAATGTCTGATAGAAAAGCAAGTACATGTTTTGCTAAACTTTAAAATTCAAAACCCAATTTTAAAACATAGACTAATCGATTATAACTCTTTTAAATTTAAAATAAGCTAAGTTCTTATTAATGGTATTTATTCCAGTTTACGATGCATGTAAAGAATATATAAAGCTAATCGTATATCTATTTACAGCCCCATTAATATCCACTATTATTTTATAATTATTTTATAAAAACGTTACCCCCACACTTGGATTTTCTCCAGTATCGCGGAAGCAGTTTACAAACATAAATTGCACAAGGACACACATCCAGACCCGAAACAATTATTTGTAGGATATATAAATACTTGTTCCGGGCGGGATTCAAATCCGCGGCCCCCGGCACAGCGACTCATTGCTAAGCCACTGCGCCACGGAGCCGTCGTCTAAAATAAAATAAATTCGTCCGCACATTGGCCCGAACCGAAGTACACTGAACGACCTTCCAACGTGTGGACGCCGTCACCAACTCTCGGCCAATATATTCGCCACTACATTCGCCACTGTGTTGGCCAACATGTAGAGGCGACATTTCACTAGCGTGTGAAATACCAAATTTGGTTTCTGGAAGTTATTGCAACTTCTAGAAACCAATACGGAACGTTACCTCTTTTAACTCACATCTTTTACGTGGTAAAGCCACGCTGCAGCTACATTATGGTTGTAGCATGAGCCGGGGCAGGACCACGCTCTCACAGAAAACCAGCGTAAAATAGCAGCTTAATACTGCTGTGTTTCGTATGGTGAGTGTAGAGAACCGGAGACCCGTTTTACTGGGATCGAGGCATTCCATCCTTATCCATTATATTAGTCCTCAGAGGTGACAGCACATCTGCATTTTGATTCTTAATCGAATGTAGATGTCTATGGCCCACAGCATCCACTTATCATCAGGCTGACTGTGTGCTCATTTGTTACCCTTATCCTATAAAAAAACTCTAATTATTGCATATAATAGTTACACTATCTTATTAGCGTAATCTGTAAAGATTGTTGTAGGTAAGTGTTGAAATAAATAAACTAATAAATTTTGTCCAAACTTTTATTTAATGAGTTGACAAAATTTACACGGTGGCGGTGATTATTGACCCCTAGATCTTAGATAGGTCCAAAATGTTATGGGTGCAAGCTATGTCCAAAGTTTTTGCAACATGTATCGTTTTACAGCATTCTAAATAAGTTCTTGTGGATTTCATAAGTCGCAAAAATCCATTTACAGTATATGCAGTCCATTTTTTAATTATAACATGTTATAGAACATACCGTATATGTGCAGTCCATTCTTTAATTATAACATGTTATAGAACATACCGTATATGTGCAGTCCATTCTTTAATTATAACATGTTATAGAACATACCGTATCTTCTTTTTGTCCTGTTCTCAGAGACACAATGCTCTCGTTCCAAGAGATCGCGTTTAAGGCGGAGTTGGACCGACACGAACATCCTACCCAAGAGTTCGCCGAGCAAGCTCTCTTGCTATGCGACGAGGACCCGGCTACAAGAGCTAGAGTTATAGAGGAGTTCAGAAACATGATATTTGGTGCGTAGATTGTATACACATTACAAAAACACATTTTTTTATAGTGTAGGGTGCCAACGAGCATGCGGCTCACCTGATGGTAAGTAGAAAAGAGTAAGCTCTTTTCTTGAAGGACCCTAAGTTGTATTTGTATTGTAGTATTGGTACAGAAAAAATTAAATAGTTGATAAATTATACTTTATTCATTATAAGTTATTACATTTACTCATTACTTCGAAAGAGCATTACAGAACTGTCGATAGATGGTGCTTTTCCTTAATACCAACTATAAACGGCCCTTAATGCCTTGTATCTGTTATGTTTGGAATTTTGCGTTCAGCTTGCCAGACACAGACACTGCTAAAATTGTGACAAATCTATCAGTAGTAGGTACTTATATAAAAGTATATTATGTATATAATATTATATCTTACCTAACAAGTCATAATTATCGTCATAGATCGCATTACGCCCAACAAGGCCTTTCAGTTGTTAATTCATCATATTTCCTGAACCCTTCCTCCTGACCACACTTCTTTGTGATGCAGTAGCCCCCACGACATTTGTATTAATAGTAAGATTAGTCGTATATTACTCTACTGTTTTAACTCTAATAAAAGCCTTGTCAGACGATGCGCTGCGACAGAGATAAAAAGGTAAAATTGGTAGCTCGCTAACTCCAGACCTTCAATCGTTTTGATGCTTTTAGGAAACGTTTCCAAATTTCTCTTTAGGCTATCTCTGTAGATATCCCAGAAATCGCTTTTGGATCCCTAAAAGCAACGGTTTCATAGGTTGTAGGATGGTTATGCTCCAATCACAAACTTAATGTGTTTGTGATCAGACATCACAAGTTTCCACTACTAACATGCCAGTCATTTATCCGCCTCATTCATATTTTCATAAAGTCTAACTCTTCTCTAATAAAGATAACGATTCTTCTTTTCTCTAATAAAAATAAAGATAACGATAACGAAATTACCTATATAATTATCTTCATAAAAATAAAATAATAATAATTTCTGTCGAAATTATGATCATACTCGTATAGTGCAGATATTTTAGCAATATATAAGTAGTCGTATTGAACCTTTTTCAGTCGACAGAGTTTCATTAATGTGAGTAGCGTTACCAGGGGTCCAGATAAAGTCGGACACAGTCAGGTGTTTTAGTTGCCTGTGCGACCGAATTAGACAGTGTCCGGTCTGCCCGGCTTTTCTTAGACTTCTTTAAAAAATTTCATGCAGTTACATACATACTATTGCAATTATTGAAATTAATATTGTAATGAATATTAAAATGCTTAATACTCGTAATAAAGAAAACTGATTCAATTTTATTGTTATTTCATTAGAATTTAAGAAAATTTTATGGTAGGTAAATGATAAGTGTTATTTTACTTAAAAATGTAGTGTTATACTAAGACAAAAATTTAAGGTGTCCGGCCTTTTTGCGAAAATCTCCGGCTCAACTGGCTGGTCTCTCCGGCTTTTCGGTTTTAAGACCTGGCAACCCTAACCCCTGTGAGCCCTGTGAGCATAGATTATATTAGTATTTTCCTAATAAAGATATTTAAAATAAAAAGTGTTCCATTTTCAAATTTATCAGTAAATAGCCTTAAAAAAAAATATATATATATATATATATATATATATATATATATATATATATATATATATATATATATATATATATATATATATATATATAGTATCTAACAGCATTTAGCATAATACCCTTGTATTTTCACCGTATCCATTGGCTTTGTTCTATACAATGAAAAAACCTTCATTTTTAAGACGGCGAAAAATACCTAGAGATTTCATTACAAAGTAGCGCGCTTTGCTTTTGAAGACAAGTCGCTTTCGCATGTTAGGCTTGTTAAAATTAGCACCCATGGAATGTGATTCAAAATCGTGGCTAAGTATTATTTTTGTGTGTTTTGAGTGTATTATTTTTTTATTTTCAGAGAGGGGCGAATGCAAGCCGCACCGTTTGGACGATGCTTACTTGCTGCGCTTTTTGAGAGCACGTCGCTTTGTGCCGGCGCGTGCACACCGATTGGTGAGTTGCGAGAAACTTTATACAGCTTAAAACAGATTAAAATTTGTCTAGGAGAGTAAGAAAATTTGTGAGTTTTTATTGTTTGCAAATCCACACATTTTTAATGGAAATATGCGAAAAGGAGTGACCGTTCACTTTGTAATACTATATATATATATATATATATATATATATATATATATCTCAGAGACACTTGATGGTAAGTGAACGTTGTAGTTCTTATATTTCTATCCACGATTAGAATAAGGGTGAATAATCTTCTTCTTCTCACCAGATGTCGCTAGGTGAGGTGAGGTGATTTTATTTTTCACAGAAATGTTTACAGAGTGACACCATTGAAATGTTGCGTTTTAAGTTTTCAGGTCTCTAGGTAGGTAGTTAGGTTATGCATATACTGGGTGACCTTTTTTACCGTCCAGAAAAAAATAGGGTGTAACACGTGAACGGATTGAAAGCCTATGGCACCGATATTCTACATAAAATGAAAGCAAACATTTCGAATTAAATAAATAAATAAATAATTAAAATCCTTCGAAATTCAAATCATATCCACCCTACTTTATGAACGGCAGTAAAACATTAAGTTTAGTTGGCATCTTTGTCTCGTCACTTTACAGGGTCACAGGCAAAGGGCAAAGTAATTGTTCAAAAAAAATTTCAAACTTTAATTCAAAATTTTTGTTTTTACTTTATGTAAAACATTAGTGATAAAGGCTTCTTCTTTATTGACATGACACGTGGTAGAGTCATGCTGCAGTTATATTAGTAGTATAGTTGTAGCACGAATGGGTCGGCTCGACCGGGGAAGGACCATGCTCTCACAGAATACCACGTGAAATAGTAGCTTAATGCTGCTGTATTTCGTATGGTGAGTGTAGAGAACCGGAGACCCTTTTTACTGAAAATGAGGCATTCCATCTCAGTCCTCATGGGTGACAACGCATCTGCATTTTGATTTGTAATGGAAGATAGATGTAGATGTCTATGGGCCGCAGCAACCACTTACCATCAGGTGGACTGTGTGCTCGTTTGTCAGCTATTCTATAAAAAAAAACCCTATTTTTTTCCAGACGGTAAAGAAGGTCATCCAGTTAAAACAATGCCCCTGTGCTGCATTATTTCATTGTATACACATTTTTAGTTTTTCTGCTTTCGGAATACATAGATTGGTTTATCAGTTTTCTAATCGAATTAATAAAATATAACTAGTATTTCAGAAAAATACAATAGGTAATATCTACATTTTTCTAACAAATTAACTTCCCCCACCAAGAAGTCTGTCAAATAATAGTAAATAATGGGTATGTTCCGAAATACAACGCAGTGTACTGTCCAATGCAAATGACGTATCATTTGACACTTTATTGTACTAGCGTGCCGCCGCCATATTGTGTCGGATATCCGGCCATAATAAAACAATTTTTATTGTGTGTTTGCCGAATGAAGCATGCCAGAATTTGTTTCTATTTATTCAAATACAAAAAATTATAGAATAATGTGGTATATCCATTAGGGGGATATAATGATTTTTGGAGCACAAAATGACAAAATAATCGCCAATACTTTTCCAAATGGCGCAAAAGTATGACGTCATATACTGTCCAATGTTTTGGAACGAATCACCAGTATAGCGTCGATTCATGACGTCATTTGCATTGGACAGTACACTGCGTTGTATTTCGGAACATACCCAATATTATTACAACTCCTTGCAAGGTGTTGCCGCCCTGGTGGCAGAAAAAGTAGCCTCATTTAAAATGCATTGATACCAGAAAAAAGGGTACCGTTATTATTCACACGCTAGCATTATGTCGCTATTTTAAACCGTTAGTTACATTTTGCATTGTGCGATCGTGAACCCCTATTTTTTTCTTCTACTTTACATATTCTTCTGGTTACATTATACATTGGTACGCTAAATGCACTAATTGGCAAGAATTCCTTGAAAAAGTATTAAGTAATCTTGTCTGCGTAGGCAATAAATATCAACTATTCTAATTTCAAACACAAGCACGTAAAGCCGTTGGTCCTTCGCCTGACTTCTCCCCGGTCATGTTGGATTTCCATCGCTTCGGTTTATGTAAGTAATAGAGAGTGCACCCGTATTTGCGCATACACTCGTGCATTAATTATAAACACTGTTCTCCGCTGGCTGCCTTGATCCATTACGAGTAGCCGTCGTGACCGAAATACGGTCTGGTGGACATTAACTACCTTCAAGCACCAGTGTACCCTCTGCTTTTTCTCGTTGTTTATTTACCACACTTACCATCAGGTAGACTGTTAACAAACCACAAGTCACCCAGAGGAGTAGGCAGACTACGGAATTCAATTCCGGTCCGGTCCTAACAATCTTAATCTCTCTAATATCTTTCACGTCAACATCTACGTTATTTTACATCACATGTTAATTTGAGCCAATTTAAACTTCAAGAGCGTATCTTGTCGACTTTACTACTCACTATTAAAAAAAAGTAATTCCTATTTCCCTGCGTATAAAATACCATATAATCTATGATTCTATTAGTCCATCCAATGTTCTTTAAGTGTCGTAACTTAAGAGGCAATCAAGGTATATTCGAAAATAATCAAGATTTCCTAAACGTAACATCTAACTGACGCCAGATATGAAATATCCAGACCGGCAACAGAAAGTAGTCATAAATATACTTATACAAGTGGTAAAATTAAAAATATTGTTCAACAGACTTCAATATAATAAACTAAATACTATTTTACGCATTATAAAGGATAACTCAAAAACTACTGGTCAGATCTTGATCAAATTTATATGGACGATTAGAAGCAACAAATTTCAAATAAAAAAATAAAGAAAAAACTTTCTGAGGTATTATAACACACAAAAAAATGCAGTAAAATGAGTACCTCCTCCTTTTTTAAAGTCAGTTGAAAACGATAAAGTTGCGAAGCGTCGCGAATGTACTGGGATCATCGATCTGCCTTCCCAGCCACCTGACGGTCCAGACCAGACCTGGTCCAGTAGTAAACTTTGACGGGCAGTTTCCTTTTATAGATAAAGGCTGACAAACGAGCACACAGTCCACCTGATGGTAAGTGGATGCTGCGCCCATAAACACATCTACCTTCAGTTAAGAATCAAAACGCAGATGCGTTGTCAACCTTGGGGACTAAGATAAAATGCCTCGTTTCCAGTAATAAGGGTCTCAGGTTGTCTACGCACATCGTACGCAACACAGCAGCATTAAGTTGCTATCTTTCGATGGTATTCTCTGAGAGCGTGGTTCTTCCCCGGTTGAGCCGGCCCATTTGTGCAACCACAAATAGCTTCAGCGTGGCTCTACCACGTACAAATGAAATGATGATAGAAGAAAAATTTATTATGTATTTAGTATCTTTTTTCACATTTTTTAAAACTGTTTTCCATTCTCTCTCACTCTCCTTATCTCTTTCTCTCTCACTTATAACAGCGCGTGCCATTCCACAACCGTTGAGCCTATAAGTCTTTTGTGGGCATTGAACTATATTACTAGCGTATAGAACGGTCACCCCGAACTAAAAGTTCGCTTCAATTTGGTAAGAGTTGGAACTAAAGTTCGCTGCAGCGAATAAAATAATAGTTACGTCGCGTCGTCTAACTATTAAAACATTCAGCGCTAGTTTGCATTAGGGATTATTTTTCTCGCGACTAAAACGTCATAAGCAGGAATTTCATTCCGCTTACGCGTATCCTTAAGGGGAAATATAATGTCAAATGGCTTAGCAAGATCCTTCGTTATGCCGAAAATATTGCTGCATTAATTTTGAAATAAATATATGGTAAAGTTGAGGATTATAGTTAGTGATTATGTTAGACGAAAACACGATTTCGTAAAATTTTCTCGATAAAAAAAAATCCAAAGTTACCTCCAAAATAAACAATAAACCGCTGTTATTCATAAAATACTTTAAATAAGATCGTGAAACTTTGCATACTAACTGAACTAACTATAAAGCAGTGCTTATGTTATTTACTTTTTTTAAAATACCATCATTTTCACTGTAAAAAAGAAATTACCTAAACTATCGGCGTCTTGAGCTTGATTCCTGTCGTTCCGTTAGTATCGCTTAGGCTTTTGAAGGGAGAAGTTGTGTCGCTTACGATCAGAATACACATTACGCAACAGTACGACGTAAAATTAAAATAGGAAATAACCGTGATAAAAATAAGAAGCGGCTGGCTTGACTTTAAGAAACAGGCATAAATATGATAAAACTAATGAAATAAGTGTCTAACGACCTTTCTACTTACAGTATTAGTGATTACAAATATTTCGGTACATAGCATACGACGCGCGGGGAAGTGGGGGCGAAATTAGAATTTGAGCTGACTTACTCTAACCTCTTAAACGTAGTACAAGTTGCTCCCATAGTATTTACATTTGGCCCAATTCTCGCTAGCATTGTAACAACGCGAAAAACTTTAAATCAGAGAGTTTTAAACGTTTTAATGTCTAATTACCGATGAAATGTTAAACCATCACTAGTTTCGATGTTCTGGAGTGTTTACTGCAGTCTTTAAGCACACAACCACGCATTTTGAAGTTGTTCTTTATGCGAAGCAAACACTACTCGTCTGTGCGGGCGCTGGACACTCACTAAACAGTTGCGGTACAGTGTACCGCAAAGCGTGGCGCAAAATCATGCAAGGCGTTGTCTTCTCTATACGTTATAGTAATACCTCAATGCTATAAAGTTTTATTTTATAAGTGAAAAGTTTTATACGTTGTAGAGCCGCGCTGCAGCTATATCATGGTTGTAGCACGAATGTTTCGCCTCGACCGGGCAAGGACCATGCTCTAACAGAATACCAGCGTAAAATAGCAGCTCTATGCCGCTGTGCTTCGTATGGTGAGTGTAGAGCAAGAGTTCCCCAAACTTTTTTGTGTCGTAGACCCCTTGCCATATTTTTCCGTGTTGGGTAGACCCCCTACTTACCTGATATTGATTTTCTGTAAATTTCTAACTGTAGTGAAGTTTAGTGCTAAAAACTTAAAGTGTTTTTACTTACATGTTAATTTATACATTTATTAATTGAATTTAAATTAAAACTACTCAAAATAAAATTTTGTATCTGTTATGTAAAATATACGTAGCATTAAATAAACATAAAATAAACTATAAATAAAATAACATAAGCAATAAGTCAATATTTTTAGTGAGAAGGATGAACCTGATGCTTTAATAATAAATTATCAACATTTGGCGTCAGTTTTGTAAGGGTTAATCTTAAATCTTCTCGGCTATTGATGTCCAGTCTGTTTCTTTTTTTCGTTAGGAGATTGGTAACAGCGCTGAACCCCCTTTCCACAAGGTATGACGATGGAAAGGATATTAAAAATTTCCTCGCTATATTCCATAATACGGGATAAGTAACGGGTATGTTGTTTTGCAGCCAGAATTGCTGATATCCGATTTTAAACTGAACATTAAGTTCTTCGTTTGTACTTAGTTCAGTCAGTTCCTTTTGTATTATGACATTCGTTTCTTCTATGCCACCATATGGATTAATTATCCATGGTGGTATTACCATAGTTAAAATATCCTCAAACCTAGATTCAAAATCTGAATAGAGGGCATTTAAATGTTGAACGTAAGTTGAAACGTCGTCTTCCTGGCAGCTTGTCTGTGACAAATTGGGGAACTGAGAAAATTCGCCCCGTCCAATATTTTGCTTCATTAGTTTAACTCTGGCAAGAAACGCTGATAAGATAGACTTTGTTTTAATCAAATTTAAACTGTCGGCTTGTAATTGCAAATTAACCATATTAAATTTTGTAAACAAATCTGTTAAATAGTCGATGTCTGTTTTCCTCTTCATTAAATTTTCTTTTAAAATTTTATCTTTAGTATCCAGAAATTCTAAAATAGTCTCAAAAAGTGCAAAAAATCTTGTCAAACATAAGCCTTTCGACAGCCAGCGTACTTCAGTGTGAAGGAGTAGTTGATGAAAGTGTTAGTCATTTTCTTCACACAACTGCGCAAATAACCGCGTATTCAACACGTTGCTTCGGATTCGGTTTACTGCATCAATGACTAAATGAAGTGATTCATGCAATCTAACACTCAAATTTTTAGCAACTAAATGTTGTCGATGGATGACGCAATGTATTGGTAACACCCCTGACACATTTTGTTTTAAATAGCTTATACATCCACGATAACGTCCAACCATGGCAGGTGCTCCACCTGTAGCTACTGATATTATATTTGATAAAGGAATTGCTTCAATGAAGTAATCCTTCAAAACATGAAATATTGATTCACCTTTAGTGTCGATTAACAAAGTTCTTACGAAGAGCAGTTCTTCGTAGATTTCTTGATTCGTAATAAAACGAACATATGCCAATAATAATGCTGCATTATCAGGTAAAATTGACTCGTCCAGTTGTATAGAGAAATGGGTCATTTGCAAATAATTACATAAGAAGCTTTCAATATCAGAACTCATTTCATCAATACGTCTTTCAACAGCATTGTTGCTTAAGGGAATTCTTTTAATGATATCAGATGGAGGTTTGTGTAAAACAGTTTTTAAAATCTCTTCAACGGCTGGCAAAATTAACTTCTCTCCGATAATATGCGGTTTTCCGGATTTTGCTATAAGTAACGAGATATTGTAAGACGCCCGCAAACCATCATCATTTCTTTGTGACGTCGAAGCGAACATTATGTCCAGTGTAGGTCTCTTCTGAAGTTTAGCTTTGAGTGTTTTAAAGTATTTCAAATCTTTCTCTGTGTTATCAGGGTGGCATCTTCTCAGACGATCTTGCAGTTTAGATGGTTTCATAGCGTCATTGCCCAAAACTTTGTTGCATAAAAGGCACATAGGCGATTGTTTGTCCGGCATTGATGGAATGAAGCCAAATTTCAAATAATTGACACTGTACTGTCTACATTTCTTTTTAGATTCGGATATGGCATCAGTCATCTGTGGGCAAAATTAAATTATTTAAATAAGACAGAAAATCCAGCAGATGTATATTAAAAATATTTTTTGATTTTTCCGAAAAAATTCCATAATTCGAACATCTTCTTGCAACAATTAGCTCGAATTACGAAGACTGCACTGTAATTATAATACCGATTGCCAAAAATTTCAAAAAGAAACTATTGAGGAGTACTCGTGTAATTTTGCATGATTGAATATTAAACTACTAATACGAGTAACTAAAGTCATGATTGGCGTAATTTATCTATCTTTGCTAACTACGAGTACAAAACTAAAATTTAATAAAAAATAATGTACTTACTTTTCTCCAGCACTCTCAAACGAAATAACACTGACTCACTATAATTTGTGTGATATCTGTTTACATTTTTTAAAATATTTTCTTAGCACTTTCCGTTTCAAGATACAGGAAACGAATAAACGTATTTGTCCCACATTCGTATTTATAGAGTGACGAATTAAACAAGTCAGTGCAAGGAAGCGAAGCTCTGAGACTGCAACTCTCAGGTTTTTACAAGTTCAAAATGTATTGCGACCACAAAGCAAATACCAACATCCTACAACTTACACAATTTTATAAACATATATAATAAATTTTTTACTTCATAGATACTTTTATAAATAATGTATATGTTTTGATATTGTAAGATAGTATGATGTAAGTAAATAGGTACTATCAGTGTATGTGTTGAGATCCACTATCGTGGACCCCCATTTTCATTTCATGGACCCCCAAATTTTTTTTCGCTGACGTAGACCCCTTGCAGGTTGTTATAGACCCCTAGGGGTCGATATAGACCACTTTGGGAATCACTGGTGTAGAGAATCGGAAACCCTTTTTACAGGAAACGAGGCAATCCATCTTAGTCCTCAGGGGTGGCAACGCATCTGCATTTTGATTCCTAATTGAAAATAAATGTAGGTGTGACCACATGCCATATGGGGCACAGCATCCACTTAACATCAGGTGGACTGTGTGCTAGTTTGCCACCCTTATTTAAAAAAAATTGCGCTATCGTTTTCTTGAACAAATAGTTTCCTTCTTTCTTTCTATTAGTTTGTAAGTACAGTTACTAAACCGATCTCTTACTTTTTTCTAGCTAGTCCGGTACTGCACATTCCGAGAACAGAACCCGCAGCTGTGGCGTGACGTGTACTGGTATGGACTGGCGCGCCTCGGCAATGTGTTCGAGGGAGTCCTGTTCGACAGACCGGATGTCGGCAGGCTAATTATATGTAGAATAGGTATTTATTGTCAAATTCCAAATTATTATAGTCATAAAATATCAAAATCAGAGATAAAACATTGCAAAAAAAATAATTCCTTTCTTACTTCCTTTTTATTTTTTTTTTTTTTTTGGTAAAATTTTTTTTTTTTTTTTTTTTTTGTTCTCTGTTTCGATCCGTTACGAAGTGTAAATGGAATGGAAATCGTTCCAATTACAAACAATTCACCTAATAAATCACTTACAGCTGACTTAGATGAAATTAATTTAAGCTTTCAGAAGTTTTGAAACAGGTTTTAGTATATATGTACTTAATGACCTTTTTTACCGTCTCGAAAAAATAGGGTGTAACATGTGAACGATGTAGAAGCCTATGGCACTGATATATTACAAAAAATAAAAACAAAAATTTTTAATTGAGCATTTGAATTTTTTTCCTTGAACAATTACTTTGCCTTTTGCTCTGCGAAGTGACAAAGTCAAAGATGACTACTAAATTTATTGTTTTATTGCTGTTCGTAAAGAAGGGTCGGTATGATTTGAATTTCGATAGATTTATACTAATTTATTACTTATTCAAAATTTTTGTTATTATTTTTTGTAAAATATTTGTCCCATATGCTTCTACTCCGTTCACATGTTGCACCCTATTTTTTTCAAGACGGTAAAAAAGGTCATCCAGTATATTATGCTTTTTTCATGCACTTTTTGTCCTCTACGTACAACCCGTACGGTCGAGTTTTTAATATAACAACCTGGCATATTTGACCAATATTAGGTCATAAAAGTGCAAACTTGTTAAAAATAATTTTAATTTTCTTCGTCTTCATAATCAGCACGACGAGTTTACAGTTGGAGCCGTTTCAATGAAACAATAGTCACCCATCGTAAGAAGTCCTAACAGGTCAGCTGATTGTAAATAGACAACAAGACCTAAAACCAAAACCTATTTGGGTAATTGTGACTTAGAACTTAAGAGCCCATACTACCTCAGCTCTTATCCTAATTTCGCCCCCACTTCCCCTTTCATTGTACATACAAATTACTAACGTCTACTCAAGTTCAATTTTCTAGTATAATTTGACCCCTCATTATATATACTGGAAATTGTCTTTCTGTAATGTCGCTGAAAGCAGACTGATTGATCTGATTGAATAAATTGAAAAGGATAGCGTTATTACCTACCGACAGAAAGAGTGTGCTCGCTGAGAATAAAATAACGCAAGCGCCAAATCACATAATTGCTAATTACGAGAAGACCACGTAGAAAAATAAAAAAATAAATCGTCACGATTTGAGATAATATTACTCGTATTACCTATATATTACGTTGAAAATCATCATTCAATTCCATAATGTTTCAGAGATCTAACTCAAAATAACTGCAAAACGACGTTTTTTTCGTTATTTTTTTTATCGAGAATTTTTTATCGAATCGTGTTGAAGCGAAATCAACAGATTTGAAGATTATAAGTTCAAGTTTAATGTGTCCAAATAGCAAACTCTTAGGTCTTATAGATACCGATATCCAGATCGCTTATATCACAAAAACAGCATTATACGGACTCTTACATTTACGATTATTTCATGCTATGCTTTCCTGCTGTCTTATAAGCGGTAAAAAAATTCATATAGTTATGAACAAGTTGATATATGTACTTAATAATAAATAATAAGTACTAAAACTTATTTGACACTAATCGAAAGTGGACAACTCTCCCTTCGAAGCACGAATCATGAGCACTGCCGGGATAGTGAATAGGATGTTTCCGCGCGTATTCACAATACACGTATTTAGGCAGTTCACATATCGGTAAACATCACTTATGACGTCAGAGTTTAAGTTTTTGAACGCTCGGAATGGAATACGGAATAGGGCTTGCACGTCATAGCATAATTTTTTATAGTATAAGGCAGACAAACGAGGACAAAACCCACCCGAAAGTAAGTGGATGCTGTGGTCCATAGAAACCCATTTTTATCCTCAATCAAGAATCAAATGCAGATCATTTATCACCCCTGAGGACTAAGATGGAATGCCTCGTTTCCAGTAAAAAGTGTTTCCGTTTCTCTGTGCTCACTATAAGAAAAACAGGAGCTTAAAGTTAAATGTTACGGTGGTATTCGTGCTACAACTAAATAGCAGCAGCCTGGCTCTACCACGTGTGAAAACTGTATTGTAATAATAGGTTAATCGCAATCCTATGTAGGTTTGTGGGACCCGGACATATTGCCGGCGGAGGAGCTGATCCGTGGCTGTTTGCTGCTTCTGGAGGTAGGCATTATGCAGCCCAAGCTGCAGGTGCTAGGCGGCACCGCCATGGTGGACTGCGAGGGCATTACCATGAGGCACATGCGCCAACTCTCACCAGCTTTAGCTGTACAGGCAATGAATGTTATGGGGGTAAAATATTTTACACATTTATTTTCCTCTCTCTCTCTCTATATCTATTTCTCTTTTATTATCTCTCTCCCAATCTCTTCATCTATCTCTTTTTCTCTCCCTCCCTCTCTCCCTCTTTCTCCTTCCCTCTCTCTCTATATCTATCTTTTACTGTCTCACTCTCCCTCTATTTTATCAGCGTGTAACATTCCGCCACTGGTTACCTCTTGTGGGTAAGGTTTGCTTTAAAAAAATTAGTTTATCTTCGTTACAGCCTATCATGAAAATCCACTGCTGAACATAGGCCTCCACATAAACTGCCTACATGGAATTATGCCACAGTTGCTACGCTAGGTAGGCGGATTGGCAACCACAGTTTTGTATTAATTTGAGCTTTTATCAGAAAGATGCTGGTGCCCGTCTCATTTCTCTGTCTCTTCTTACGACACCCACGGGACGATATGAAACAGTGGATTCTCTTTCGCCGCCACAGTTACTCACTTATCTGTGACCTCGTGCTAAAAGGGTTTTGAAAGACTATCAATTAACGTACGCCTTTTTAGCACAAACAAATGTCGTAATTTTTAAAAATCTCATTTCTTAAAAAACGTACTTTGGCCCTTTTAGCACCAGGTCGCAGATATAACTATTTTTGTACAAAATTCTTTTTCTCTTTACCGTGCAGTGGCTGTGGAGAATATCCATTACCCCATATCGTCCAGTGGGTGTTAAAATAGGCGATAAGGGTAACTAGAGCAGCAGCATGAAGCAGCATCTTCCCGATGACAACTGAAAATAATAAAAACTGCGGTTGCCAAGACACTTGCCAAGTGTGGCAATTATTTAATTCTATGTAGGAACTTATGGGGGAGGCCTATGTTCAGCAGTGGATGTCTAAAGGTTGTAATGGATGGATATATATTCTATTATATAATAATGGATGAAAAATATTCTAATGGGGTTTTCAACAAGAACTTTGTTTTTCAATTGGGGCAACACCAACAACATGACAGTTTTGACATTTAGTTTTTTGACCTATTCGTAGTAGATGCTTTGGCAATTGCTACAATGAATTCAATTTCGCTCGAAAATCGCGTTAAAATAATTAAAATCCACTATGAAAATGGTGGTTCTGTTAAAGTTACGTTTCGTAAAATTCGTGATATTTTCGGACAACATAATCGTCCTTCTGAGACCGCTATTAAGAATTTGGTCGCTAAATTTGAATCGACAGGCTCGGTACAAAATGTGCCAACACCAACGCGTGTTCGACCGGGTCGTTCAACCGAAAACATCGCAGCCGTGAGCCACAGTGTTGAAGAAGATCCAAATTTGTCAATTCCTCGACGTTCTCAACAATTGAGGTTATCCAAAACCACCACATGGCGAATTTTGCGTAAGGATTTGGCTTTGAAACCTTACAAGGTTCAACTGATGCAGGAATTGAAGCTGACCAACCATTCACATCGCCGTAGATTCGCTCAATTCATTCAGGGACAGCCCGCTGGTTTTTCTGAAAAAATCATTTTTTTCAGACGAAGCCCATTTTCACTTGTCAGGGTACGTCAACAAGCAAAATTCCCACATTTGGGCTTCTGAAAATCCTAAAGCGATTATTGAGAAGCCTTTGCATGCTCAACGTGTTACTGTATGGTGCGCTATGTGGTCTGGAGGCGTGATTGGGCCGTTTTTTTTTTCGAAGATGAGGCTGGAAATGCGGTAACGGTCAATGGATCACGCTATCGCGAGATGTTAACATCTCAATTTTGGCCTATTATTGATGACATCGATATCACAAACATGTGGTTTCAACAGGACGGTGCCACATGTCACACAGCCAACGAAACGATCAATTTATTGCAAACCGAATTTCCCGATCGCATAATTTCACGAAATTCAGCTGTTAAATGGCCAGCCAGATCGTGTGATTTAACACCACTGGATTATTTTTTGTGGGGCTATGTTAAGGACAGAGTCTATACGGAGCCAATCGAATCGATCGCGGCCTTAAAACTCAAAATCCGTGACGTGATTAACGAAATAGACCCGCCATTTTGCCAAAAAGTGATTAAAAACTTTGATGAAAGAATCGACATCTGTCAGCGTGGTCGCGGTGGACATTTGCCAGATATCATTTTTCATTCATAATTGCCAAACTTTTCTCTTCGTAATACAATAAAAATTTGAATCATCTTCATCTAAACTCTTTGTTTTATTTTGTTTTAGAAAACAAAGTTCTTGTTGAAAAACCCGATAGATTATATCTTAAAGGAAATCAATAATTAGGATTTTATAATTCATTCAACTGTATGCCTGATTGTTTTGGAATATTTTATTTTATGCTAAATCCGACATCTATAATTTTTTTTTAGGATAAGGGTGACAATCGAGCACACAGTCCAACTGATGGTACGTGGTTGCTGTGGCCTATAGACATCTACATCTATCCTCGATTGCGAATCAAAATGCAGATGCGTTGTCAGTCGTGAGAACAAAGATGAAATGCCTCTTTTTCAGTAAAAAGGGTTTCAAGTTCTATGCACTCACCACACGAAACACAGCAGCATTACGCTGGTATTCTGTGAGAGCGTGGTCCTTCGCTCAACTTGAGCCGACCCATTCGTGAAACAACCATACACTTAATATGGTTGCAACATGGCTCTATAAATTTGTCCAGTGAATAGAAATTATTAGGATAATTAGCAACTACGCAAAATTTTTGTGTCCAAAACATTTACCTAAAAGGAGACAATCGTTTTGGGCCCACTAGAAATTTTATGGTAAAATAAGATACCAATTTATTAGTAAACGGCCTTAAGATTTTATGAAAATCTAACTGGAATGTACCTGCAACTTTGGTTTATACTATTATTATTATTGAACATTTTATTACATTATTTATTATTGAACAGTGCACTATTTTAACTTATAATACCGGTGAAAATTACTATACAATCACTGTTAGTTAGTTTTTAGGTTATTGTGATATTCATATTTCAATTGTTAATTTCTCAGTATTTTATTTTTATTTGCTTCCAAGATTACTAGTGGTGTTATTGGCTGTCCTGAAATTTTAAGTAAATTTAATATGTGCGTTCCCTTTCGTTATCCGCGTTATGCTCGTAAGATTACACCATTGACTAGACCATATCGAAGAACAGTGGTTTGCTCCAATTCTCCAATTGCTAGAATGAGTAAACTTGTTAACAAATTTAGAGATAAAATTGATATATTTTTCGACCCTCCTAACAAGCTCCGTCGCACCTCAAGAGACCATCTTTTGTAATAATATTCTATACAATATGTTCTTTCCTTTCCGCTTCTATATATTCTTAGTACCGTATTTCGTTATCATTTTTTTAATCTTTCTTTATACTAGACATATAGGTACACAGTGCTAAGAAAGTTATTTGCATGTTGTATCCGCTTGTAATTATTTGTACATTTTAGTTCTTATCACTTCATTGTATTTAATTAGCATGTAAGGAATGATACAAATGTTGGTGGATCAATAAACAAAAAAATTAAGTATTCCCGTTAGATGCAGTAAAACTAATATTATTATTGTAATCTATAGACTATAAGGAATAAATCGACATGCATTTCATTAAGTAGCGCTACTATTTCTGGTGGGCTCATTCTGCATACAAAAATAAATTGTCTCCTTTGCCATTAATTTGAGGCATCATGCAGAACAATACGATAAAAATTAAAAAGTTTCTACAAGTGCAATGCTTCGTGAGTTCGTGACCTTAAAACTGCTGTTTTCCAATAACCGACGTTTATCGAGAAAGTTACTGTGTACTGAGAGAGAATCGAAAAACGCTTCTGGCAAATTTCGTATCCCGTTAAAATTAATAACCGAAAGCGATGATGCCACTGCGATTAAAATAGCTGCCGGGTCAACGAAGTGAAGCGATTAAAAAAAACACACTAAAAGTGTGTTAAAGTGTCGGAAAACGTTTAAATATACAAAAAACTAACTCATTACTGTAAACCATGGACCACGGATGGGCATAGGTATGTATTTAATGGCGAAAAGAAATAATTACTATGAATTAAACCCTTTTTATATAATGGCCATATACCATAGTATTTAAAAGTAGTATCACTATCATGTCGTAATTAATAAGATTAATTTATGATAAATTTAACGCTTGCTGTTAAATACACAATAATTTTCCGTTTCCGATTCAAAAATAACTATATATTTGATACACACATTTTACACACAAAGAAACAAACTCAAGGGGCAAAAATATGCACGAACAAGTCTAAAGACTGCTGACGCAATAAAATTATTAATAAGCAGTACATGCACATCGTTAATTAATAATGAAAAAAAAAACAAATTAAAAAACTTTTGGTAAACCCAAATGTACATGCCTTAAGCGTTTATGTACATGTTATGTTCATGTTTATACGTCATATTTTAAAAGTATTTTAAATACACACAAGTTTTCACGAATAACCTTATTAGCTTATTACTATTATTTATATGTAATTTTCCGATAATTTTATGTCAATTGTCAATAAAAGTTTGGAAAATCCAAAAGTGCACGACTCATAATGCTCATATGATCATGAAAAATTTAGAAAAAAAAATCTCAATCAATAAAAGAATTGTTATAGATAAATAGAAATGTTAATGATGTTGAAAATGAAATGATTGAGATTCAATGTTTTTATTATTGATTGTTAATTGAAAAAGCTTTTAACAGAATTATATTAAACAATCAGAAATTAACTTTAATATTAAGGTCACTCGGGGCTATTGTAGCTAGGGGGAAAATGTAGCTAACTAAATTAACCTCATTCCAGTAAAGCTTTTGAAGCAAGTGACATCTGTGACTTTGTAGAGAAATTCAAGTTACCCTACATATCAATAGATGGTGTAAGTGGCATTTATAGATTGTCAGTTTCCAACCGCTTTTTTATTCCACCATTTTGAAGTTACTCGGTGCTAAGTGTCCGCTGAGAGAAAATCTCTCAAAAATATAGTTTTTGGATGAAATTGAAAA